TGTCTCATTCTTGCGCGCTCCATGTGTTCCAACATCTCGCTGCTCACTGCACCTGCGTAGTTTTCAAACTGAAGCGACCAATCTGGCCAATCAGCATCTCTGCCCGAAAATTCTGACGTTTTTTTTCCGAGAAGTTTCGTAACGATGACCCTTTGTGCCATGTCTTCCTTCAGGGACTGTTCCTAAAACTGTTCCCCGGGTTCCCGTGGATCTAAAATTTACGATTTTCTGAGCCACAGCTCCGCTACCATGTAAGACAGCGGTCTGTTTTCCTCGGATCAGCTTGACCCAAGCCGGCTGCGGCGCAGGCAGAGAGGGCAAGGTGAGAGGAGAGATGGGTACAGGTGCATGACTTCCAACAGGAGGAGGAGGAGGAGGAGGAGGAGGAGGAATAGGACGAGGAGGAGGGGGAGGGGGAGGGGGAGGAGGAGGGGGAAGAGTGGGAGGAGGAGATGAGTGGTAATACTTATGTCGTGATGGTGATGGTGATGATGATGATGCTGCTGCCGACGACGATGTTTACGATGATGCGGATGGTGATGACCATGATGATGTTGATGATGATGCTGCGGCTGATGACGGTGGTGGTGATGGTGGTGATTATGATGATGATGACGATGCTGATGCTGATGACGTTGACTATGGCGATGATGCTGATGCTGATGCTGATTATGATGAGGATGATGATGACGATGCTGATGCTGATGGTAGTGATGATGATGCTGCTGATGCGGCTGATGATGAGGATGACGATGCTGCTGCTGATGATGCTGCTGCTGATGATGATGATGACGCTGACGGTGATGAGTATCCTTGTGATGATGGTGATGCTGCTGTTGATGACGCTGTGGATGATGATGACGATGAATAGACGGCTACTGAATGATGCTGCTGATGATAATGGTGATGTTGACGATGATGCTGGTGATACTGCTTGAGATACTGATGATGACGATTCTACAGTCGATGATGTTGATGATGAGGCTGCTGATGATGATTCAGATGCCGACGCTGATGTTGATGATGTTGATGATGATTATGGTGCTGCTGATGTTGGTGATGATGATGCTGATGCGAATATGATGATGCTGATGATTACTACGCTGCTGCTGCTGCTGCTTATGATGATGATGTTGATGATTGATGCTGATTCTGATGCTGATGCTGATGATGCTGATGATGCTGATGGTGCTGATGATGACTATGAGGCTGCAGATGATGGTTATGATGATTATGGTGATGCTGGTGATGGTGATGATGACACTTATATAGATGATGGTGTTGTTGATGATGGTTGTGATACTGATGGTTATGCGGATGATGCTGCTTATGATGATGATTCTGTTGATAATGATCATCATCGTGATGCTGATTGTAGTTTTGACGATGACGACGATAATGGCGGTTGTGCTGATGATGCTGGTAGTGGTGATGGTGATGGTGAGGGTGATGGCGATCTTGATGGTGATGCGTATTTTTGTGATGATTGTGATGCTGCTTCTGATGACGATGACGCCAGCGACGTCTGATGATGATGCTGATGATGATGCCGATGATGATGGTGATGATGATGACGAAGCTGATGATGATGATGCTGATGATGATGATGATGATGATGATGATAATGATGATGCTGATGCTGATACTGATGAGGATGATGATGATGATGCTGATGATGCTGATGATGCTGCTTAGGGTGATGATGACGAGGAGGAGGAGAAGGATGAGGCAAAAGAGGGGGAGGGAGGAGGAGGAGGAGGAGGAAGGAGGCGGAGGAAGAGGCGGAGCAGGAGGAGTTGGATGATATGATGATGATGATGATGATGATGATGATGATGATGATGATGCTGATGATGATTTTGGTGGTGATGATGACGACGGCGGCGATGTTGATGATGATGATGCTCATAATGATGCTTATGATGACGACGGCGATGATGATGGTGACAATGAGGATACGGATGAGGATGCGGATGATGATGATGCTGATGATGATGTGGTGAGGACGCTGCTGCTGCCCATGATCATGCCGACGTTGATTAGGCTGAATATTATGGTGCTGTTGCTGATGGTGATGATGATGATGATGATGATGCCGACCATACTGATGTTGTTGATGATGATGCTGACGATGATGATGGTGAGGTTGAGCAGGGTGATGATGATGCTGCTGCTGCTGCCGGAAACTGACGGTTTTTATTGTAGTGCTATTGCTGCTGTGCTGCTGCTGGCCGTGATGATTGGTGGTAAAGGAGACGGATGATTGGAGGAGGGTCAATCTGACGATGATGGTGATGATGGGAATGATGATGATGGTGATTTGGGATGATCAAGATGATAAAGATGGTGATGTTGCTGAGGTCGATGTTGATGGTGGTGCTGCTGCTGTTGATGGTGATGATGTTGCTGATGATGATGATGCTGATACTGATGAGGATGATCAGACCATCATAACCATGATGCTGGTGATTACTTTGAAACTGCTGCTGATGATGATGGTGATGATGACGATGACGATGATGCTAACGATGATGAGGAAGATGATGATGATGATGAGGAGGACGATGATGATGATGATGATGATGATGATTATGATGATGATGCTAATGATATTGATGATGAGGATGAGGATGAGGATGATGATGATGTGAATGATTCCGATTCTGATGATTATGGTGATGATGCTGATGATGACGACGACGATCACGATGACGATGACGATGATGCTGCTGCTGATAAGTATAATGATGATGCTGCTGATGATGATGATAATGATGATGACGATGACGACGACGACGACGACGTCGATGATGATGATGTTGGCGGTGGTGGTGGCGATGCTGATGATGTTGGTAATAGTAATGATGATGTTAATGGTGATGATGGTCGTGATGGTGATGATGCTGGTCTTGATGAGGAGGAGCAGGAGGATGAGGAGGTGGGGGAGGTGCAGGTGGCGGAGGAGGAGGTGCAGGAGGAGGAGAAGTAGTACACCAGGATGATGATGATGATGATGATGATGATGATGATGATGATGATGATTCTGGTGATGATGATGATGATGATGATCATGATGAGGATGATGATGATGTTGATGATGGTGGTGATGGTGGTGGTGGTGGTGATGGTGATGATGCTGCTGCTGCTGATGATGATGGTAACGATGATGCTGCTGCTGCTGATGATGATGATGATGATGATGGTGGTGGTGGTGGTGGTGATGGTGATGATGATGATGACGACGCTGATGATGATGATGATGCTGCTGCTGATGATGATGATGATGATTCTGCTGATGATGATGTAACGATGATGATGATGCTGCTGCTGATGATGATGATGCTGATGACGATGATGATGATGATGATGATGATGATGATGATGATGATGATGATGATGATGATGATGATGATGAGAGGAGGAGGAGGAGGAGGAGGAGGAGGAGGAGGAGGATGATGATGATGATGATGATGATGATGATGATGCTGATGATGATGATGAGGAGGAGGAGGAGGAGGAGGAGGAGGAGGAGGAGGAGGATGAGGAGGGGGAGGACGACAGAGGAGGACTGATGAGGAGGAGGGGGAGGAGGACCAGGTGCCCTTGTAGAATCTCTGTACCCCTGGCATCGAAAACGGAACCATCATCGGGAATGTCTGAGTGTCCAGGTCGATAACCAGGCCGTGGCTGGCTCGGTGACGGGCCGCGCCTCTCTGACAGATATGACTTTCCGGCTTGTGTCTGTTAGCACTTGCTGGCTCATCGGCCGTATGTTCAACATTGGATTGAAGCCCAGAGCACCTACGGGCGATCCTGTGGAGTGGTTCCCCGATTACACCATTTCATGGCCGACCAGATCGCCAGCCAGTGCATCAGGAACCAGGCTCCAACAGTGCCATCGTCGGGAGCCTTGAGACGGGGGTCGATGCAAACGGGGGTCAGCCAGAGGGCAGGATCCTGCCGAACCAACAACACACACCCATACCCATAGGGGGGTCGGAAAGAGCTATGGGTGCGTGTTGTCGGATGGGGGTCCCCGCTCGAACGGGAGCGTTCCCTAGGGTCCGACAACCCGCACCCATACCCATAGCCAGTCCTCCTCCCAACGACCCCCTGATGGGTATGGGTGTGTGTTGTTCGTTCGTCAGATCTTGCAGCATCCTGGAGAGCCAGGGCTGCACCGACCCGGATCAGCGTGCAGGTCCAGGTCCTTGCAGGCTTCCGCACGATCTCGCAGGCTTTTCCGAGGCCCGACTGATTTCCGGGTCTGGATCGACCCGGGTCAGACCCCCGACTTTGGCGTGGACTGTGGGCCTTCGGAGCGCAACCGCTCGAATCGGTTGTTGTGCGTGGACTCAGGGGCAGAAAAAACGCCCCTACCCTGGTTTACGAGGCGCTGTGCGCTGAAACTCCTGTGGGCTGACAGGGTTAAACCCTGCGTGATGGGCCGCGTCCTGGCGGCTCTAGGCTTTGGGGGTTCCCAGGAGGTTTACAGACCACGCGCTTGTGACCCAGGGTAGGGTCGTTTCCTCATCCCTCAATGGACGGCGGGTTTGTCCGAGGAGTCGGAGGAGCAACATGCATGGTTCTGTTCAGGATATGGCCAGGCGGGGACAAGCAGAGGCGACACATGTTCATCTTTTCTACTAAGGTGTCGATCCGCATTGCAGGCCGAGGCTATCGCATTCAACACCGCGATGGGTAAGCTGCATTACACTGGTCTCTCGGGGTAGTAGAACCAGCATCCTAGGGGCGTAGGCAAGACGAGAAAAGAAGCATACAAATGATAATGACATCGTAATATGCATAACATTCACTACATGACGAATCCGAACAATACTAAAGAGTAGTAATAATGATGAGAAGCGCAAGACGAAGAAGAGGAGGAAGAGGAGGAACGAGGAGGATTGAGGTGGAGGAGGAGCAGCAGCAGGAGGAGGACGACGACGTGACCAGCTCGATCTGCGTAGCGCCGCCCGTGCTGCTGGCGCCTGCGCGAGGCGTCACCGCCTCGTACGAGGGGAGCTGGCGACAGGAGCAGAAGCACGGAGAGGCCGCCCCCCGTCGCGTCGAAGCGCCTTCGGCCATTTTCTGGAGGATTGTGCTGATGATGATGGTGATGCTGGGATTCGGCGGCGAGCGAGGGGGGAAAGTGATAAGGAGAAGGCCTTCTCAGAAGGTTCGGAAGTCCCGCGGCCTTCGGGGAGTTTTCTAAGCCCTCCCCGAAGGCAGAAGAGACTTTCCAGAAGCCGCGAGGGCTTCTGAGAAGTCCCGCCGCCTTTGAGAAGGCCTTCTCCTTCTCACTTCCCCCCCTCGCTCGCCGCCGAGGGATGGTGCTGGTGATGGTAAGTGTGATGAAGATGGGGATTGAGATGGTGATGGTTATGATCATCGTCCGTTTCTCCAACTCGGCATCATCCCGATGCTCGTCCTTGTCCTCAACCTTTTGGCCATCCTCCTCGTCGTCCTCGCCCTTCTCATGGCAACCACTGCACGCTATCCTTCTTCCGCCTTCCGCCACCCTGGAAGGGCAGACTGGTCTTCTCCGACGGGTCCAAGTACGAGGCGACCACAGAACCGCGCTCCTGTCCTTGGGATCTGCGAGGAGGAGGAGGAGGCTTAGGGCCAGAGTAAACCCAAATTGCATCGACGATTATGCAATGCACCCTCTCGTCCCACGTCCCCCCTCATACGTCCATAGAAGTCTTTCCTTCAACTACCAGAAACGCCCCCCCCTGAAAGTCTGGCACCATATGGGCCTGCCATTTTGGTGCGTTTCTAACATGAATTGCCTGGTATCTTTCCGACGCGTACCCACGACTGCGATAAAGTATGTCCAGACAGTTCAACAAGGTGTCCAGCGAGATCCTTTTTTCGAGAAAGGGCTGCTCCCCATCCGTGCGACTGCTGCTCACTTGTACACGTGTCGCTTTTGAACGGCGATTAAGTCCGACGCGAGAGTTCCATTTTGAAAAAGAGCCGTCCTTCATCCTTCTAACTGCTGCGAACTGTTACGACGAATGTGCGCGGCGCTAAGGCGAGAGGCCCATATTGAAAATGACCTGTGCTCCATCCTGGAAGCTGCTGCACACTTCCAAGACGAAAGTGCGCGTCGCTAAGGCGAGATTCTCACCTTAAAGGAACCGCCCTCCATCCCTTGAGACTGTTGCAGACTGTTCCACGGATGTGTGCGGCGCTGAGGTGACAGCCCCATTTGAAAATTCACCCCTCCTCCACCCTTGAAGCCGCTGCGAACCTTTTAGACGAATGTGCGCGGCGCTACGGTTAGAGCAACACTTTGGAACAGCCCTCTCCATCCTTGAAGCTGCTGCAAGTTTGTCGTGCGCGGCGCTAAGGCGCGAGCCTTATTTGGAAAATAACATCCTCTCCATCCTCCATGCCGTTACACATTCCAAGCTTCAGGACCATACGTGGTGAGGACGTCTCGGGCGAAACGCTCGAGAGTCATTCATCAGGTAAAAATATGCGGATGAGGATGGAGTTTTGTTCGTTCTCGCAATTTCTGGGCCTCCTCGGGGGCCCTCGTCGTCACGCCTGGTTTCGTCTCGGAATCCGAAGCGTTTGAGGGGGAGGAAGGACGAAGGGAGGGAGGGAGGGAGGGAGGGAGGGAGGGAGGGAGGAGGAGGAGGAGAAGGAGGAGGAAGAGGAGGAAGAGGAGGATGCGGAGGATGGTGGAATCTGGCTTTTGGGGGTTGGGGACGAGAGTGTGCCTGATGATGACGAGAAGAGGGTGTGACTGAATACAAGGCGGTCGGTGTGGGATTGCAGAAGATGGAATGAGGATGAGGAGGAAGGGGATGATGAAGATGGTGGAAAGAAGTGGGAGGCGAAAGGTTGTGGGATCTCCGGTGAGAAAGAGTACGAGGAGGAGGAGGAGGAGGAGGAAGACGAGGCGGACGAGGGGATGAGGAGGGCAGTTGCTATTACACCCCCCTTGTCTATCTTCTTGCCGCAATCATCTTCATCGCTATGCCGTTGTTGGCCCAAAACTTTGGGCCACGCTGCATTTTGGCCGTCGCTCGGGCGACTTTGCCAACAAGGCTGAAGACGCTCAAGTATGACCTCCGAGCGTCACAGCCTCTCGGCGGCGGGCGAGGGGGGGAAGTGAGAAGGGACGGGCCTTCTCAGAAGGCTCGGAAGTCCCCCAGCCTTCTGAGAAGTTGTTTTTTGCCTTCCCCGAAAACGCATAAATTTCTGAGAAGGCCTCTGGCCTTCTGAGAAGTCCCGCCGCCTGCTGAGAAGGCCTTCTCCTTCTCTCACTTCCCCCCCTCGCTCGCCGCCAATCCTCGGTACGGCCTCGACGTCCCCGGGGCCCTCTGGCCTGTCACAGCGCGTGATGCCCTTGGGCCGTCGCTCGGGCGGCTCTGCTCAGAGCGTCCCAGAGCGACCTTCCGGCGTCGCAGCCTCCCCATCTTGCCCCTCCGTGGCCGCCTGCCGCCGGGCTGGTCTCGAGGCACGGCTCACGTCGATAGAGCTGGTCCTCGCAGATTCACAGCCGCGTCACCCTCGTCACCACAGGAGGAGAAAGGGGGGGTCCCGAGTGGAGGAGGAGGAGGAGGAGGAGGAGGAGGAGGAGGAGGAGGAGGAGGAGGAGGAGGAGGAGGAGGAGGTCGCGAGGCTCTTCGCAGTCTTCGGCCTCCTGGGCCCTGCACAGGCCCCCGGGGCAGTCAGACAGGGGCTCGGGGGGAAGGCCTGGTCCCGAGGAAAGCCCCGGGGCTCAGGGCCCGCCGTTTCCTTCGGGGCCCCCTTGCCCTCGGGTCCTCACCCGAGTCTCCCGAGGGAGGGATGCGAGTACACAGTGGGAGCTCCAGATTTCGCAACAAAAGGGAGGGGGTCTGGACCCTCCAAGACAAGCCATTTCAGACCTCCCCCGTGGGAGAACCCTCCAAAACATCGTCCCCAGACCCCCCAGGCCCTCCAAGATAGCCTGGAAGAGACCCCCCCCCGAAATGAGACCCCCCTCCCTTTATTACGAAATCTGGAGTACACAGTGGGGACCCATGCCAAGAAACGCCCTGCTTGCCTCGTGGGTCCTGGGTTTGTTGGCTTCCATGGTCTTGCAGTGGAGAGCGTGACGGTCCTACACCAAAAATCAAAGGGCGTCCTGGGGTCTCAGGGTTGGGTTTCTTGTGGAAGGTTTCTTGTGGTCGAGCTCCTACTGTTAGGAGGGGGGTATACCGACCACGCCGGTGGCACACCGACTGCTTGAACATTTCGCTGCGCGCCAACCGCCAGGCGAGAGGACATGTCGCCTTGTCAGATCACGCCCGCAGGGTCGGACTGAAGAGCACTGCGAGCTCTGGATTTCGGAGATCGATTGACCTTCCACTGGGCCACCTGGACCTCTCGATTTCACCCCTGGGAATAGTTTGCCATCCTGGCCTATTTTCGGGGTCCCCAAACTGTGCGGTATCCACACCGCGTCGTGAGTCAGTCGGGATTTTGGGTCACTGCACGGTTTTGGAACTCGGGTCGTTCTCCAAGGATGTCTCGGGCGACTGGGGCCTCCAGGGTCCCCACAACCGTGCGTGACGGACCGTGCGGCGAGGCACTGTGGGATTTCGAGGTCACTGCACGGCCCGTCACCGCGCTGCCTTGGGACCCCTAAAACATTTCTTGATGAGGCCCTGGGCCCGCTCTGGGTCGGCGGCGAGCGAGGGGGGAAGTGAGAAGGAGAAGGCCTTATCGGGAGGCGGCAGGACTTTTCAGAAGCCCTCGCGTGCCTTCCGCGTGTTTTTTTTTTTTTTTTTTTTTTTTTTTTTTTTTTTTTTTTTTTTTCGGGGAGAACTTAGAAAACCTCTCAGAAGTCGGGGGGGACTTCCATGCCTTCTGGGAAGGCCCGCCCCTTCTCACCAGGGCTGGACCCAGATCTGAACGGTGCTTTGGCCATCTCGTGGGCCGTTCTGCTTTTCGTTTTTTGTTCTGCATTCAGGGCGAACCGAAGGCAAAACGAAGCAGAACGAAACACAAGACAAAAGCGAAACACGCCGCTTGGGTTTACCCGTGCCTCTCCCTCCCCTCCTCCTCCTCGCCCTCCTCCTCCTCGCCCTCCTCCTCCTCCTCCTCCTCCTTCTACCCCCTCCTCCTTCTCCTCCTCCTCCTCCTCTTCCTCCTCCTCCACCTCCTACCCCCTACCCCCTCCTCCTCGTCCTCCTCCTCCTCCTCCTCCTCCTACCCCCTCCTCCTCCTCCTACCCCCTCCTCCTCCTCCTTCTCCTGCTCCTCCTCCTTCTCCTCCTTCTCCTCCTCCTCCTCCTCTCCCCCCCGCCCCCCTTCAGCGGCGCCGCAACGGGCACTCACTACTCAGGGGCATAGGGGGGGAAGCATCGACTCCCAATCGCCCATTGATCGCCGATAGGGGCCCGATCGCCTTAACCTGCACAGACAGGAAGGTGCGGATTCACAATCGGGGGCCTATCGCCGATCTATCGGCGATGGATCGCCGATTCCAGGTCGATGTTCCCCCCTATTCCTTTCCCCCCTATCGTTGCCCCTCGGCTGAGGGGTGCCGTGGTGGACCGCTGCCGAAAGTTGCGGCTTCAGGGCCTCTCTCTGGCAGTGCAGCGCTGCCCACGCCGGGGAGGGCCTGGGTTCGCCGGGCCACTGGCCAGAGAGTGCCCGCCGGCGGAGCTCCCGTCAGAGGGGCGCCGAGGCCCCGTCCCTGCCCCTCCGGCCTCCCGCCCATCCTGAACCTCTAGGGGGCGTCCAGAAAGGGTGTCATGACCAGGGAGGGGTGATTTGCCTCAGGAGGGGAAGATACACGCGGACACAGGTAATCGTCGACTCCCAGGAAGATGGCCGGAACATATGGGAAGTTGTGGGGAAGAGGAACACCCAGGATCTATGGGGAAACATGGGGGCTCCTGGGATTTGTGTCTATTTATTTGTGTGTCCTAAGGCCCCTTTCATATCGTGGCAGGGGCCTCGATGTCTCCCCAGGTCTCGTGGCCCCTCTTCTTCTGTCGATGCGTCCCCTGGGCCATTCTCGCCGGTCCGCATGCCTCGGGCCATGGTTTGCGAGCCCCCCTCTTGGACGCCCCCCGATGGGACGACCCCGAACTTCGGACGCAGGGGGGCGTTCCTTGCGCTGTGCACCTCAAGGTTTGTCCAGTCGAGCGCTTCGTCCTTTTCTCCTCCCCCGTTCTCCTCGCTGTGCAGACCACTATGGGTTCCACGCCTCCTTCAAAGTGGGGCTGGCACTCGCACCCCTGGATGCGCTGGGCTCGCTCCAGGCTCGGCCGTGCGCTTGTCCAGAATGGTGAAGGTGCGAGGGCCAGTCATTGCGCGCGGGAGACCTGCGATGAGACGTGCTCATCGTGACGAGCGGGCTGTGGCCAAGGCTGAGTCGGGCATGCCCCTCTACAAGAGGAATGTTCAAAACTACTTGAAAATAGTGTGGGGACGATTTTTTCCCGGCGGAGCCGGGTGAAATTCCGTGCCCGCCGGTGACTGACTGATTGACTGATTGAGTGACTGATTGACTGATTGACTGACTGATTGACTGACTGAACATCAGGAGGCACCTTGAACAACACATTTCAAACC